TTTTTCAATTTCGTTTAATTGTGTACGGGTGGACGTCATTTCTTCACAGTAATATTATTAAAATGTTAACGTATCGTAAAAAGTATCAAAACTTGATACATGAACATGTTAGTGTATATTGATTTTTTAAATTTGGTTACACATGCAAATCGGGCGTTACTTTTTGGGGTACTGTACGTGTCAAAAGATGAGTCATAATTTATCAAAAAAAGTAAAATTTTTTTCATATACAAAATATAAATAACCAACCAATAGTTTTAGATCTGAAAAATGAGAGAGAATGTATTTAAAGTGGTTGAGAACCCAATCATACAACAAATTTATCGTTATTAATTTTTTGTTTATTTTTCTGTACTTAACTTTTCTTTATTCTTAAACTCCACAAATGTCCACTTTAAATTTTTTTTGTTTTGTTTATTCTGTCTCGCCAAACACTTGTTAAATTTTTTGTCTCGTCAACACTTTAACTTGTCTCGTCAAACACTTTAACTTTCTTAATTAACTTTACTCTTAAAATCCACAAAATGTCCACCACCAACAACAACATTTTTGACTCCCCGTGCTTGGCAAGTGTTGATTTGTAATTATTATCATCGCAGGGATCACGAAAATTGTTGTGCTGTTATCAGCTTTAGATTAGGGTTGATATTACGCGAAAACTCATTTCGTTTTCAAATTATTTTCCAGAATCGTATCATTCCATAGTCTTCATCACTCAGTTGGTTGACGTTAGGATAGAGGGTAATTTACAGTAATTTGTTTATATGTTTTGCTAGCTTTTTCTAGCGCAGAATAAAAGTTTTGTATTTTGGTACGGCTTTTCTAACTTTTTTCCAGGCAATCTAATCGATGATGCATACGGGTCCGAATGTATCAATCGCGTGCTATTAATAGGGTGTACAGAAAATTGTCCTATCGGGACTATTATAGAAACAAAAGGTATAATTTAAAGTTCTTTGTGAATCTAAAAATAATCAATTATCGTGCATATTTAGATTTCAACAAGCTGAATATGCTGTTGTTGATATATTTAAGACCTAATCCAAAGGATACGAATTGCAAGCAATGGAGCCCATTAAAAAGTAAATTATTTAATCTAGCATTACTCAATTTAAATCGAATATTTAGTAATCTCAAAGTTTTTCTCTACCTGTTATAGAAACACCTTTATCATGGAAGATCGTTCCAAATAATATCTTTTACCAGCGTCAAACAAATTACGCGAAAAAAGGGGAATACTTTTATTTTATGAGTCTTCCCAATTGAGAGGTAGACTTCATCAAAATAATTTCTTGTCTTATTTCTTATTTACGTTAATAATTAAACATGATCCTGTTTTTGTGTTTAGTTAAACAGCTTATTAACGCAACTAAGAAAGTCTGTATCGCAAGCTTCATTAATCACTCTTGCAATCCGAACTGCGGAATTTTCGCCGCACGTGATATTGTATCGGAGAAGAACTTGCGTTTGATTACAATATAGGTATGTAATATATCCACAAGTTTCAAAAATATATAGAACTTTTACTAACATCTGAATATAATAAATTATTCTCTACTAGAATGGCCGCCCGAAAATGTCACTGAGGAGAATAACTGCTATGGCTATCTTGGTGGTCAAAAAGGGTTGAATGATGAAAACGAGCAGGGAATAGTACAAATCCAAGATCCTGAAGATGTGCTAGGATTTATACGAACAATGATTCATAAACTACACTTCCTAATCGAGATGAGTACTTAGCATATTACATTGTCTTGAGGTATGTAAATTTTTTACTTGGTTTTTTTCAATTTGAAGTTAATGCTAGCATAAGCATAACGATAATGTTACAATGTGAATCTTTTTAACTTATGATACACGTAATAGATGACGGATGACAATGATTTTTTAACAGATTTAAACATCTTCATGGGTTGCTTGTGCTAAAAGCGTATCTAGTCGAATGGAGACAAGATGATGAGATCGTTTTAAAGGTGTGTTTTTACAATATTATCAGTTATAGTTTTTTATTTTTATATTCTATTTCTTTGCTTCATCAATAATATCGTCATTAGACTTTACAGGTGTTGCTGAAACTGCCAATCTTGGCTCGAAACACGATAACTGATGCTAAAATTGAAGAGAAATGGAAATGTTCAAGCAAAGATCTTCAAGGATGAAAGAGCTGGTTGATGCAGTAAATATTCCTTTTTTTATGTTCTATGCTGGTTAATTATTCGGTTCCTTTCTTATTTGTTTTATTTTATAGCTCTTTGAATAGGGATCTTTTACTGTCCTACACAGATGTCTACAAGACTGTAAGTACATTGCAAATTAAAAAATTTCTTAGATTTTTAACAATAATTTTACATTACATTTTTTGAACATTTTGCTTTCTCATTTATGTATATAGAAGGAGGAACTCGAACAAGTACAAAAATTTTAGAAGAGAAAGCACGTAAAGCAAAGGAACTAGAGGAGGAAAAATGAAAGAAGAAAAAAGAAGACGCAAGGAAGAAGCACAAGCTCGGAGGAAATCTTGCGATAACAATCAACACACACCTTATCGTGACAATCGTGGTCACCATCTTATAATAACGGACCAGAACGAAGACCAATATATGAATCGAGTCGAGATTTTTATAACTATTACAGACCTTTAACAAATAATTCATATCGGCCTTCGTATAATAGTCAAAGTGCATCAACAGATTGATATCGACCTATTCCGCAATTAGTCGCGCGTCATCAACAAAAAAGTTCAAATAAAGGTGAAAGCTGCGATATAGTAGCAACTAACAACATTCACCATAATGATAAAGCAGTAATTTCATATTTATCAACACTACCACAAGCAATGACTACATCATTTCAATCACCATAACCAACACTACCATTACCTGATTCACTTCGCTACCACAAGTAAAAAAAATTATCAATCAGGATCATACATCCGAATTGAAATGAAGTTGTGAGGGATTACTATTATAATGCGTTTTCAAATAAAACGCAGGGGGAGAGGCCGGTGGTGGAGGATCGACAAACGCTGGAGGGGTATAGCCCAATGCAGTGATCGAGCGGGCAATGGCTTCAAGATATTGCTGTAGAGAACCCAAAAGGAAGGAGGAGCCAAAGGGGAGTCAGCAGCTGCAATCAGTGAGGCAGCTTTTAAGGAGAAGGCGTTTAAGGAGGAGGTAAGAATTTAACATATATATTTGTTTTGACTTTATTTAGTCCTGTTTAATAATTTAATTGTATTTAATAATAACTGTAGAAGTTGGTGATAATCGTTGCAGCCACTGGAAGGGGGAGTTTAAAAAACACGCTAGGCACGGACCAGATCTCACAAATACGATGCAAGTTCTTGAGATCACCAATGTTAGTGCAATTTGGAATATGAATATAGTGGATTGGTTTGTTGCTTTTGATGGATTTTGTTGGTTGAACCGGTAAGCACAAACAATATTCTGAAAATTTATCTATTTGAATCCTTTATAAATTTTTTATCTTAATGATAATTTTTCTTTACATATTAGCGGCCCATCTAGTGGTGGATAACGAATTTCGCCGCCAGAGGGAGAGGTGTATGTGATGACTGACTCTTCGGTCGCGAGTAAAGAAGTGTCGCTGAATACATCAGCAAACTTCTTGTGCACAAAGGAGTCACTCAAGATTTCCTCTTTGGCTGGTCAAAAGAAGAGTCTCGAGAACCGCTTGGAGGGTGGTCACAAAAAATCAATAAAAAATTTATAATTTATAAAAATAAAAAATATATAAAATACACAAAAAAAATATATCCAAAAAAATACATTCAAAAAATATATATTCAAAAGTATATTTAAAAAATATATATGCAAGTTTCACAAAGAAACCAAAGGAGAAGAATCTCCGCGTCATCATCATCAAAAAGAAATACATTCAAAAAAAATACATTCAAAAAATATATCAAAAAAAATATATATTCAAAAAAGTATATTTAAAAAAATACATGTATATATGCAAGCTTTGCAAAAATATATGCGAGCTTCGCAAAAAAATCAAAAAGGAGAAGAATCTCCGCGTCATCATCATCAAAAAGAAAAAAACAAAAAAAATACATTCAAAAAATATATCAAAAAAATATATATTCAAAAAAGTATATTTAAAAAAATATATATGCGAGCTTTGGAAAAAAATCAAAAAGAAGAATCTCCGCGTCATCTTCAAACAAAAAATAATTGCACATAATCTATATATAGGTTGACACAATACTCTAGAAGGATAACAATGAGATGTTACAGCCCGCACGGAAAGTAATGGTGATGACATTGATTGTCGAATTTTCAGACAGCACCCACCAAAACGCGATTGATCTTAGTTTTGTGACCAGAATGTAAATGAAAAACAACATATTACTTTTTCAAATACCTGACAATCCCCGTAAAATCCAATCATGTGACTGAAGAAATTATGGTGAAGTGGCTGGCATAATGTAAAAAAATTTCGCAAAAAACTCGCGTTCCGCTTCGCCCTTGTGAACGTTAAATTGCTTCACTTCGGGAAATGGACAACTTCTAGATATTCGTCGTTCTGGTCGTCCATAAAAAATTTCGCCTGAAATGCGCCATTAAATCGGTCAAGTTATAAATTCAAATCATTTCCTTACGGCAGCTGAAATCAAAGCGCGGCTTGAAGAAACACACCCAGGATTCGAAGTAGGTGTGCAAACTATCCGTGACGAGATTTATAGGCTCGATTATATTGCCGAGACGCGTTCCTCTTCTCACCCTGCAAGCGAAAGAGAATCGATCTCAATGAGTACACAATCACCTCGATGAGTACACAATCACCTCGATTATTATTGGTGCAAGGTTGTATTTTCCGACGAAACAACCTTGTAATTATCACAAAACACCTATCCGTTCTGGAAAAACTGCACCAACGGTGAAACGCCTGTTAAAACTTCTTATGTGTGGAGCAATTGTGCACGTGGCAAACTCGAAATATTGGCTTACATCAAAGATCACAACTACCTTATTAACACCAGTATATACTGGAATTTCACTATGTCAGCCTAAAAGAGCTAGCTTAATGTGTGATGGTTGTTATAAAGAACTTTTACTGTAAACTCAAACTTGTACAATAATTCAGTTCAAGTCCAATTGAACTTTGAATCTTTTTTGAACTCAAACCAAATATGGTTTGAGTTCAGTTCAAATTTTGAATTCAGACAAAAGTCCAATTTGGTTTAGTTCATAAAAATACTAATTTCATGAAATATATACTTATTTATCTATATATGATAAAAAAATAATATTAGAGACCAAAAAGACTTTAAAAAATGGATGACAAAAATAACATACTGTTACGTGGATTTTGTGTTTTTATTAAAAAGGAAGGATTTTCCATAAGCGGCGGTTTTTGGGAGAGCAAGAGTTTTAGATTTGGTTTTCAATTATCTACAGCTATTCTATTTCGCGTTTCTTTACCAAGATCGATCATCTAACGATGCCTTTTCTGGATTAAGATCCTAACCGTCAGCAAATTCAATCAATTACTACGAGGGGATTTTACAAGTCTTATTTTATTTGGATAAGAACTGTACGCGACACTTCTGATATTTTATTGAGGCCCGTAGACCTTTCTTATATACATTTTTTTTTAGTTTACATATAATTTATTCTTATAAGACTATTAAGATAAAAGAATAATGCGATTCAGAGAGGAAAATATAATTAAGAGTTTTGTCCAAGAGAGAGATTATAAGAATAAAGATCTAATGAAAACGTTTGAGAGAAAATTGTGATTTTAATTAAAAGATAATAATAAAAAAATATATATATTTAACAAGAGATCCACGAGGAAAAAGAGAGAAAATCTTGATCAAAAAAAAGATAAAATAAAAGAGAATATCAGACGAATGTTTGAGAAAGAAAAAGAGAGAAAACCGCGATTAAAAGGGAAATCAGATGGAATGTTTGAGAAAGAGAAAAAAAGAGCACATGCGGAACGTACATATGGGGTGCTCTTTTGAACAAAAAGAAAATATTGGACCTGCAACGCGGCCCAAACTGATCCTTCCGAATTAGGAGGATACTATATGTACTTGGATAAAAAAATGTTATTAAAGTTAAATTAATAATATTAAATAAATAAAAACCTGATTAATACATTGAAAAATCATTATATATTTATTATACATGTAATTTGTCAGTCATTGTATTTGCTCCAACTTCATTTTATAAATTCTAGTACTAAAATTCGAAAAAAATTTACATTGAGCTAATTAAATACTTAAAAAAACAAAAATAATGTTCAAAAAATTTAGCTCAAACTGACAAATCCGGAAGTTGAGATAAGAAAATCAATTCAAAATGATTTAGTTTTGCTTAATATAAAAATTAACCCACGAATCAACCCACAAATAAATAACCCACAAAGAATTAACCCACGAATCAACCCACAAATAAAGAATTAACACACGAAGAATTAATCCACGAAGAATTAACACGTGAATAAATAACCCACAGAGTTATAATAAATCAAAAACTCCAAAATACTTATCGTTATGAAAAAAAGGAAAGAATATATATAAGAAAAATTTTTCCCCAAAAGACAAACATTCAAAAGATATGTACGTATTTCAAAACATTCAAAAAAAGATGATAAATATAACATTAGCGTTATGGTGCATAAAATCTAAAGTCATCAAACGTTTGTATTTTATAAAATGTATAAACTTCTTTACTAATAAATAAATACAAAATTTAATCCGTGAATATGCTCAGAAAAGGCCTATTCTATCATATTCACGGATTAAATTTTGTATTTACTTCTTAGTAAAGAAGTTTATACATTTTATAAAATAAACGTTTGATTTTATGTACCATAGCAATCCGGAGCAGCTTTCACGTGATACAGATCAAATACATACGTCACCAGCACAATAAAATTTTGTGATGCATTCTTAGCGCGTTAGGGTGTGGCTTAACTTTGAAATTTATTATTCACCATTTTCGCTATTTCTTGTTCCGTGATCGAAATCCGCAGTAACTCCGGGCTCTTTTTGCCTAATTCACAACAGCTTTTTGTGTCGGTATCGTCGTCGTTTATTAATTGTTAGCTTTTAGCGTTATCGTCGACGGCGGTTTTGGCTAACTTAATTTCGGCAAGGTATGTTTAATTTCGTTGGTTGTGTCCTCATTTGTTGCTAGCGGCTGCCTTGCTACTGGTTGTTGTGTTCGGCCAGTCGCAGGCGCATGCAATCTAGAGTTTCGTGACAACATTACCGTTATCATTATTATTATTTGGTCGTCGTGAATTCTTCACATTCTGCCTCGAATTCTTCAAGTTGTCAGTGGTAATTTGGTTAGAAGCGTTGGTGAGTGGAAGTTTGCTGCCTTTTACCGGTCGTACTTTTCTTCCAACTTTTTGCCCTTGTTGCTTGGTTTTTCCATTTTGTGGCGAATTCCGGGTCTCTTTGGTAGGCGGTTAGAGGGCAGTTAGGTTTCCTGGTTATCACTGGTGAGTTTTCTTCTCGTTTTGGCTCTGTTCCGCAGAACGGGCAATTTCCTATCGGAAATGCCACAACTTGTGATCTAAACACTTGATGCAATGTAATAGTTCCTTTTTGGTGTTGTGGGGGAAGGCGGGAAGGTCAAGCTTAACCTGTCCGACGTCGCTGTAACTAGGCTCTCAGGCTTTACCTCGATAAGCGATAACTTGTGATCTGAAGAAATTTCTTTCAAGTTCGCTTAAAAATAAAAAAAGCAATGTAACAAAACATTCGAATGTTTTGTCTACTTTCCTTTTTTTGAATTCTTTTGCTTTTTCCTTTTTTGGGGCACGGCTAAAGCCTAGTGGACATGTGATCTGGCACGGGGTAATTGTGGCTGGATTCACTTCGGAGAAATTCGGCGCTGTAAGTCAGGAAGCCGATTTGCCGAGTACATGATTAATAGTCATGCACACACACACATGCATGCCCATAACCCCTGTCGCTTGTTTCTTGCTGATCGTCCATATAGAATACTTCGGGAAGTACTCTTAAAGGTTTTGATTATGAACTACTTGGACTGACTGTCGTTATTTCTTTATATTTCTACTGGCATGAACCAAATATTTATTGCATTCATAAAATAAATACTCCCATTTATTGGGTCTTTTTTCAAGTTTGTAACGAAAAATATACACTTGCTCAATTACTCGGAAGACCGCAGGAATATCTTGAGCGAATTTTGGTGAATTAAAGAATAGCTTTGACAAGTTAGCTTGTCTTTTACGACTTCCGCACTCTTTTTTTTTCTTTAAATCTCTTCTTTCCACTCAATTTTTATACACTACGTACTTTTTCCGTTCTCTAGATCATTTTTGAAAGAACATGTTTTTTCAGTTTCAGGGGATATATAATAATAATCGACTCTGTAAAAATGAGCTCTCTTACATTTGCAACTTCAACTCCTGATCAAAGTCGTGCTCCTCTCTTTAATATCAATCAACTGCTTGAACTTCCAATGTGTGAATTTGACGATGAATGGTGACCCCTTGTATCGAATATCTGGACAATAAAAATAAATTGTAGAGTGCTAGCTAGTCGTATGAAAGATGATGTTTTGGTAATTGCGTCTGAAATAATTACGATTACTCATAACAAAATAAATATCAATGTTGTGCTTATAATGTATAAACATAACGGGAATTATTTATTGTTAATAGAATAAATGTTCTTAAAAAATTGTAATAAAAATAATGCTTAATATTGTAATTATAATAAAACTTAAAATAAAAACTTAAAATAAAACTAAAATAATACTTAATATTGTAATTATAATAAAACTTAAAATAAAAACTTAATGTAATTATAATAAAATCTAAAATAAAAACTTAAAATAAAACTTAAATATTAATGTATTAAAGCAGATTCCAAACCAACTCTCAATTTTTCAATAAATGTAACCATTTGTTTAGTATCTTCTCTCTTTTTAACTCTCCAATATACATTGTGTGTTCTTTCCATCAACTCATTTACAGTTTTTCATCAATTTTCAGCCGCTCTCAGTTTCAGTTCTTTTCAGATGATACCATCTTTACTAACTCAGGATGCTCATATATCTCAAACTAACATTTGCTGAAATTGGTTCCAAGTACTAGTTATTAATAATTTTGAAAGATATATTAACAGGGCAACTAATACTAATGAAAAAATAGACAATGACAATAAGATAATATTAAACAAATGTCACTTTGTCTTTTTGTATTCTCTTTTTAATAGTATAAGCTTCACTAATAATTACTTATTGAATAAGAAAAAGAAACTTGTAAACTTCATTGAGAATTTCACAATCAATACCAATAATAAAAATTTTTTTAGTACAAAATCCAAAGATAACAAACTCTAAATCTGAATACTTTTTCACATCTAGTAAAATAATATTATTGCATATCTCTAGTAGAAGTAGATAAATTATTAAAATTATTTCAAGTGATATAATTATATAATGAATAAAGAAAATTGATAATATGATTATATAATAAAAAAAGACTATAATATAATCATATAATAAAAGAAAAATAGTGATATAATTATATAATTATAATATATCATAATTTGTGATATTATAAAAATTATAGAATTACAAAATTTTATTAAAATAATAATAAAATTAATCAAAAAAAAAATATTTATTATTAAAAGTTTATTTACTAATTATTAAATTAACTTACAAACTTAAAACTAGATTAAAAGAAAGATATTTAAATTCTATATTAATTTCTACTAAATTGTAATAATTTAAAAATATAATAATAATATATGAGAGTTATGTGAGAGTAAAGATCAAAGGAGAGAGAAAAAAATATAAAATAATAAGAAAATAGTTGATAAAGAAAGTTTGAAATACTAATTCTCTATATTTGCATAAAGCTTTTCAAAACTAAAATAATATAATTAATAATAATAATAACAAAAACTCTTTTACTTGTTCTTTTTACAAATAAGGAAAATATTAAAATTAAAAATAACAAGTATTCAAAATAACAAAAATTAAAATACTTAATCAAAATCAATAAATTTGATAAGAATATTTTATTTGGCACAATATAATAAAAAGTTTATAAATTCAATAATAATATTTTGTTTAGCACAATATAATTCAAAGTTTATAAATTCAATAATAGTATTTTGTTCAGCAAAATATAATTCAAAGCTACTTTATACAAGCTTGATATGTATAATTAAAAGTGAAAAAGATGAGTATTATTTGGAAAAAGATTTTTGTTAAGAGAGAATTTTTAGTTTTTTATTTGCAACATGTTGATTTAAGACTCAGATAGCATTTTTATTTATATATTTTTTAAAGTATAATCTCAAGTATAATAACTATCTAATTGATTATTTAAAAGTAAAATTATAAATGAAAAGTAAAAATAACAAGTGAAATATGGATTCAACACATATTAAAAGTGATATTATGATCTGTATTCAGATTGAATTTGTTAAATAACATAATCTAGAAGGATTCTGGTGATTCTAGACAAAAGTTAAATGTTATTGTAAATGAAGAAAAAGAAAATATTGATCCTCAAAACTATTTCAGGCTGGAAAAAATGAAAGATTAATAAAAAAGAACGTAGTTTGGCAAGAGTATTGCAAAAAAATAGTTAATTTGAATTTCTTTATTATGCTCAAAGAAAATTGTACACTTTATTGGCAAGTTATTATTCTGTTATTACTGATCGCTGTGGCTAAGGAAGGGTATCACCAACTTAGCACATATTCAGGTGGTGTAATTTCAGCAGTGAATATTCAAATCAAGTTATCAGATCAATTTTTTATTTTTATATGGATGTGGATTTTGGATTAAAATATTTTAAGAATTGCATAAAGGGCGTCTCATTGAATTTTATATGCTAACTAAATGTTGCTCGCAAAATTTCTGGTATAATTTTCGTGATTATATAAATTAAAAATAAAACATAAAAAGAAAAATTCGAATTTACTAAAAATTTAAAAATATGAATATATTTTTTCAAAATCAAAAGATTCAACCGGCTCTCCTGCTCTATCATGACCATTTTCATGCGCTTTTTGATACCATTTTAATGCTAGATCAAGATCTATTGGGATTCCGAAACCGTATTGGTAACATTCAGCTAATTTGAATTGAGAGATATTCAATCCAGATTCAGCAGATCTTAAATACCATTCAAATGCTTTTTTCTCGTTTTTATTTGTTCCATTTCCTTGAAAATAGCATTCTGAGCATCAAAACTTTCTGACTCTGCTGATGTTTGAAAACATGAAAATGCTTTCTGTAAATCTCTATTGGTTCCCTCGCTGTGATAGTAACATCTACCAAGGTTAAATACTCCAGTACTTTTAACCTTTGATGATTCTAAAAATAACTCAAATGCTTTTTTTTCATCTCGTTGTGTTCCTATACCATTTCGATAAAACCAACCGAGATTAAATTGTCCACTAGCATCATCACCCTCTGCTGAATTCAAATACCACTCAAATGTTTTTTTCTCGTCTTTTTGTGTTCCAATTCCATTTTGATAACAAAAGCCAAGATTAAGTTGTCCACCAGCATCACCACTTTCCGCTGATTTCAAATAACACTCAAATGTATTTTCCTCATCTTTTTGTGTTCCGATTCCATATTGATAATAAAAGCCAAGATTAAGTTGTCCACCAGCATCACCACCTTCTGCTGATTTCAAATAACATTCAAATGCTTTTTTCTCATCTTTTTGTGTTCCGATTCCATTTTCATAACAAAAGCCAAAATTACGTTGTCCACCAGCATGACCACCCTCTGCTGATTTCAAATACCACTCAAATGCTTTTTTCTCATCTTTTTGTGATCCGATTCCATTTTGATAACAGAAACCAAGAATACGCTGTATTTGAGCCTCTCCGTCTTCAGCAAATTTCAAATACCAATCAAATTCGCTATATATCTTCTTTCTATTTTTTTCAAATTGTATATAATGATCCAAAATAATTTTTGAAGTACTATTCTTTTTGGCATATAACTCTTCATAAATTAAATAAATAAGCCTAGGTTCATTGATTAATGCTATCTCATATTGATAACAAAAATCAGCAAATAATTCATCTTTATAAACAGATAGTAATGTTTTTCTGGTGCTATCCATTTCATTTTGGATAATTGATATAATTGATTTCATTCTTAAGGCTATATCTTTCAATTCTTCATTTTTGGAAGAGAACATTCGTCGAATTATAATTGATAGTCCTTCATGGAGTTTGAATCATCAAATTCATCGTTATCTTTGATTTTCATGAGAAACTATTTAAAATTACGTTGTAGTAGCGGTTTACTTGATCTGCAATGTGAATTTATTACTGTTACGTATTGGTATGTATGTATCGTTACATGTAGTAAGCCCACTATGCATGCCGTTCTACATGTATCTAACGATAGTTACACATTGTTTTCTTTTGAACTCATGGTATGGTTCTTTTAATAATATAAATCATTTTTATTTTATTGTCATTTCAGATTTCAACTAAAATACTACGATTATTGTGGTAAATTATCACAAAGCTGAATTGTCGAGCGAACATAAAAGTATTGACAGTCTAATAAAGAATACACGGGAATTGGAAATAATCATCTTTCGAATGGATTATTTTTGAAAGATTTACTAACACTGTTGAATATCTCGCAAAAGGACACTTTATAAAGTATCTTTGCACAGATACGAGTGGGATCACGGAGAGAATATATTTAAACGAGTTGATGGAGATAAATGTGAAGTTGTGTTAAAATTATGTGAATCAAAGCCAATTATAAAGGAGGTAGAAATGAACAATTTATTTTTATTTTCCAATAAACTTGCGCTTTTCAAAAATATATTCGGATTACTCTAAAATTCAGTGATCTAACTTTGGAATAGATTATTGTAGAATAACTAAAAACCCAGTACGAATAAATGTATTGCTACAAGTTTGTTCACTAATCATTAAATTAGCTTACAAACTTGAACCTGGATTGGGAGAGAGTGATATACAGATAAAGATATTAAAATAAAAAGAAGGGGTATCTAAGGCCTATGCCAATTTCTATGGAAATTGTATTTACTAAAAAAGGGATAATAATATGAAAGAGTAAAGATCAAAAAGGAAAGAGAGTATAAAGGAATAATAAAGAGAATTCAAAAGAGTGATTTTATACTTGTGTAATGCTGTCCAGAACTAAGATAATATAATTAGTAATAACACTAACAAAAACTCTTTTACTTTGTTCTTCTCATAAGTGAGAAATATTCATTAACAATTATAAATTCAAATAACAAAAAGTAAAATACTTATAATCCAATTTCAATAATTCCAATACAGTGATTTGTTCAGTACAATATGATATAAAGCTTAATAATTCAATAACAATGATTTGTTCAGAACAATACAATCTAAAGTCCAAAGTGATTTGCTCAGTGCAATATGATATAAAGCTGTCAGCAATTTGATAAATTCAATATGATGTAAGATCACTTATACACAAGATTTGAAGTGTATAAAGAAAATATGAGAGGTAGAAAGTATTTGAAAGAAGGTTTTTGTTAAGAGAGATTTTTATTTTTAGTTACAACATGTCGAGTTAAGACTCAGACAGCACCTCTATTTATATATTTTTGAAAATACAATTTTAACTAATTATAACTATCTAATCAATAATAAAAGAATAACAAATGATGAAGTAAATGATAAAGAATAATAAATGATGAAAATTGATGAAAATTGATTAAACTAAAGAAAAATAATGAAAATTGATGAAAAATAATGAAAAATGATAAAAATAATGAAAAAGTGATGAAAAATGATGAAAAAGTAATGAAAAAGTAATGAAAAATGATGAAAAATGATGAAAAAGTGATGAAAAATGATGAAAAGTAATGAAATAAATATCTAATATATTATTTTTGTTATTTCTTAGAGGTTATTATGTTTTTTAAAGATTTTTGATATTTTCAATTATTTTTCAAATTCAGAATTTTTCTTTGAATTTACGAAATTACTGTTACTACTGTAACAGTATGATAATAATGAATACAAAAATGGCTATTTACACAAATATATATCACTTCCGATTACGAAGAATCGACTTGGTGACTTTCATATTGGAGCTGATTTTGGAATTACTGGACTACGTAGCGGTAATGTTAAACTCGTATATAGCACCACCACTTCGACAACGATCCTCTTAATTTTGGTGGGATCGGTTTGGGCCGTATTATAGGTCCAATGTTCTCTCTTCTGTTCTCTCTCAAACAAACACACCATATTTATATCTCGCATATTCTTTCTTTTTAAAACGAATCTCTTCCAAACAATGTTAGTAATTATATCTTGCATTCTCTCTTAGACAATGCATTTTCTTTTTTAATCATGATTTTTTTATCACGATTCTCTCTCTTAAACATTTTATCTTATATTCTCTTTTATTTATGTCATGATTCTCTCTCTTAACATTACCTTTAATTTGTCTTGGATTTTCTTTTAACTGTTACGATCTCTCTTAAACAAAACCCTTAATTATATCTTACATTCTTTCTCAAACAATGCTTTTAATGTCCTCTCTGAATCGTATTTTCTTTTCTTATTGTCTAATCTTAATCGTAGTCTTATAGGAAAATAATATTACTATAAAACTAAAATAAGACTTGTAAAATTCCTTCGTAATAATTGATTGAATTCACTGACGGTTAGAACCTTAGTCCAGAAAAGGCATTGTTTAGAAAATCGACGACGGTAATCGATCTTGGTAAAGACGAATTTACTAATTTCCCCAAATTTTGATTGATTGAGGATATTAAAGGTTAGTTTTAGCGTTAGAATTAAGGGTTAGGGTTAGGGTTAGGACTGGAGGGAAGGTTATATGTAAATTTGTCTTCCCGACATTTTTTATTAGTGCTCAAGCCAGGTTTATCCATTCATTTTCCGTATTTTTCACATTATTCGCTGGGTTGATCAAGAATTTATTGGTTGATTTAAAAGCCCCCCCCCCCCCGGTGTGCAGTCAACCAATCAGCGATGGAAATTAGTAAGTGCGGTAAAGACACACGTAGATAATAGAAAACCCAATTAGGTTAGAAATTAACAAAGGAACATTTTAACATACACTTACCCAAACTCCAACGTGAAATACGATATCCGTAGATATCGGCACAGACAACACTAATTATCGTTCAAAACTCTTGCTCTCCCAAAAAACTGTCCTTTATATGAAAACCCTTTCCTTTTATATAAATTACGAGATTCACGTAACACTAGTAGATAAAAAATTTACGGAATGTTTCCTTATATCAGTCCAGAGGTGTTAAACGGCAAACCATAAACACAAGTTGTAAATATGTATTCAACGTCTATTTTGGGGAGTATATGTGTAGATTAATGATACATGTACTTGAAGATGACGAAACCTTTCGTCACGACCATTTTGAAAATGAATGACGAACCCTATGACGAAACCTTCTGACCTATAAAATACTAGTTCGTAACACCATTTTTGGAAATGAACGAATGGGCAAAATGCACATGTACATATTGATTTTCACGAAACCTTTCACCATGACCACTTTGGAAATGTAAGTGGTGAATGACAAATCGTCTGACGAATGACAATTTTGGCATTATTTTTGCATAATTTTTACCAGAGGTATGGTGCCGGAAATCTATAATCGTCAATCACGTAATAAAATAAGATATATTTAAAACCCTACTCTACAGAGATAATTTTGAAAAAATAAACCAATAACTTTTGTAATTCGAGATACACTCTATAAAGTTATCAGTTTAGTTTTTAAAAATTTGTTTTGTAAAAAGTTTTAGAGGATAAAGATATCTATTTTTTATCACGTGATTGGTGATTATAGTGTTGTGGTTCTGTTTTGTTTTGGCGAATTAGAGGATTTATGCTTTGGGAGAGATGGATAAACTGAACAGTTATTTTTTTCAGTACATGTATCTAGAGCCTGTGCCAATATCTATGAATATCATCAGTTATGTTGATTTGACTCTACCAGGAGATACTACATTCCCATAATGATTGGTACTACTGATGATCATTATCAGGCAGAATTATTACACATATCAATCACAAGACATGTCCATGTTGATGATTTTGATATGAATTTGTATTTGTATAACATGTGAAACTGAGATTTTGAGGTGAGAAAACTTCTTTATGCTTATATCAAACTGCTTTTTCATTTTAGACAATTTTAAATCATTATCTTTTGTACTTTCATTATGTACTAGTTGCATACTTTTTATCCAAATCTATGTCGACTTTACTTAGAGCTGAAAAATATTACCTTTTCAATATAAATACTAAGATCTTCTTTCAATTATACTTATTTTAAGTCAGCCTGATATTGTTAAAGATAGTAAACAAAAAGTACATCAAAATATTTTACTGATGCAAAAGTACTTTGCTTGTGACTTTTTACTGTTTATTAAAGAGCATTTTCAATAAGGACTGATTTATTGAAGATTTAAGTAAATAATATTTACATCTAATATATATATTAATAAAAGTTATTTTATTAAATAGTAATTAATGCTACTTATTAAACTGTTTTGTATTGATTTTTTCTCCAATATTATCTGACTCTCTCAATCATCCAGTCTAAAGAAATAATCTTAAATTTTAATAACACTTTTAGAATTGTAATTTCAAAATATTGGGATCGTTTTGGACTGGTCAATATATGGACTTGGATACTGATTAGCAAAAATCTATGGCTGTAGGTACGAAAAGAAATCAAAAAAACGACAAATGAGTTACAGTTTTAAAACGCGAGAATAATATCAATACTTGCAAACCCAAATGTAACCGCAGAAGACTAGTTGGATACTTCAGAAAGTACGAGAAAATTGATCTTTAACCTATCATTATTATTTTTTTTATTAGTTGCCAAACACTAAGAATCGTTCAATCATTGTGACAAGTCATTAACTCTACTTGGCGGCAATCGTCACAACACTCATTTCCATAAAAGAATAAAAAATAGATTACTGAGATACCAAAATTAGGAAATGAACACGTCCCTGATATTATGAAATGAAGCATTGACCATTATAATTAACTAGCTATCAAATATATTTCAACGAAACCATTGAAAAGTTGAGAACGATAATAAAATAAATGAAACTGCAAAGATTATATAGATGTGGTAATATAATTATTAATGAATGTTGGTTTAGTAATAAAATCTTGAAAGTGGATATTTGACTCTTCCCAAACTTATAGGTTTGTGTCGCATTCCCATGTTCTATCATCTTAGTCGTCTTCATGACTAGATATGACTGTTTTTGTACCACTAAATGGATCTAGACACCCGCGTTTTGTTTAATTACTTGCATTTGTGAATTGCTAATTAGCATGTTACAAATAAAAAAAAGACAGATAAATATAGCATATAGGGTAGAAAAATAAACATATTTGCGATTTCTCTCAAAAATGGATAAGTTGCGCTGATATTCAAGCGTTTTTACCATGCTATTTTCTTAAATACCCAACTGATTGGTCGTATCTCTCCGCGAAAGAATCCAGCGAATTTTACTCTTCAATTTTAATCTTCTTAGCTCCAAATATGCGAAAAATTTCGTCAACTTGAAGCCTAACCCTCTCTCTGTCCTTTTCTCCATATACCAATTCGATATCGCTATCTTCTTCGCTATCTTCTTCAAATACCAATTCGTTATCTTCGCGTTGTCGCTTAATCCTCTTAACCTCATTATTATTTTCAAGTTTAATCTCAACTTCGTTATTGTCTTCAACTTTAATCCACTCGACTTCGTTATAAGTAGGCGAGGTCCTCGGATTATCAATTTCGGCAGACATCTTCCTGAGAAAACCCATCAACGTGTCATAAACGTTCCTATTGAAACGAATATCAACATGGCTTTGACGTACATCCTGCTTCATCGATAAGATATAATGCTGATATTGCTCGATGGACAAATCAGGATGCTTTGCGATCATATAACAGACGAAGACAAACTCAATTGGTGCTAATCGATGAGACCGATTGATGAGTGTTACATCGGCTTCGATTAACGAATCGAGCGTCTTGAATACATGTTGTGTGGTGTCGTACAACTCGCGTGGTACATTTCGATCTAGTTTGATGTATTTGGTAATGAGGGATGGAGTTGATCGAAAGTTTGGTGGCTCGGTTTCGATCATATGCAATGATTGAACGATTAGTTGGAAAGCACGATCACGACGTGCATCCACAATCCTGGCTAAGGAAGGATAAGTAGAGAAAATTTGGTGTGCGTACTCAGACACTGGGCTGGAAATCGCCTTTAATTTCTCTATTATAAAATGTTATTTAGAAATAGGTCTTTTATGATAAAATAGAATTATGATGAAGAATACAAACCTGCAGAAGTGAGCGTCATTCCGAACTGAACCCGACCGAATATTTCTTGCTCTTGTTTCAGAGTCAAATTGGAGTATTCAACTACATAAAAATTTCCCAAAATTATTTTAAAAAACTTAATTTGTTCGGCAAAAAAAACAATTATGACATACCGCAAATAAATCCAGAGCCACCAAACATTTCTCTTTCTAATTGTGAAAGAGTTCTTGATCTTCCATTTTTGGATTGCGAATAATACCTTTTTTCTTTATGACTGTCATATGCATCCACGTGAGGAATCTTATTATCCATGAATCTGGAAAATAAAACAAGCAAAAAAATCAATAATATTCCAATTGATTTATGATTAAAATAATCCGGGGAGGGTTTCAATAAAAAATATACAAATATACCTTTTAATGGATGTAAGTCTTTGCTTTCCATCAATACACACTCTCACGAGCTTGTTATTCACTTGCTTGCATGAAAATATCAAGGGGGGAATATAAAAGTTTTTCAAAACTGAATCGATTAAATGACTTTGCCTGGATTCTATATTTTGAACAAATAAAGAAAATGATTAATAATAAATAAAATGTATATTTATATCATTAGATAAAACATACCTCCCCAAACAACATCTATCGAAAAATAAACAAATATATAGAAAAAAATATTAATGTGAAATTATAATAAACACATTTTTTTTAGTAAAAATAATAATATTTTTCCATTGTTATTTTTAGCAAATAGAAAATAACAAACCTCTTTGAAAATCGGGTGTAATATCAATGGTGCCCTTTTCAAGCCGACTATATAACTTAGTCATGGTGTGAGTAACATTCCTGGCTTTTGGGATCGATTCACTCATTGCTAAAAATAATTTCTATTGGGAAAACAAAAACTACTATCAGATATTTGCTTTGAAGAAAATTACTTTCAGGTATTTGAAGAAAATAACTTTGAGGTATGTACTGAAGAAATTACTGTCAGGTATTTGTTATGAGATAGTATTTTTTGTTTGCGATAAAAAGGAAGAAAACTTTTACCTTGCGAGAAAAATATTTTATAAATACAAAATATAATTATGCACACGTGTATTACATGTATATCCTGATGTGATGATATTGTGATATAGTTAGAGACACGTAACTGAATTTGCCGCATACGTAATCATTTGATTGACTAAGTTCCTTTATAATAATCCATTTCAGCGCTAAATTACGGTAACTTATTTAAACAAATAAATTTTCAAATTTCAAATCTTGTCATTGAATTTCGGCCAGAACTTCTTTTGAAAGTCTTTGCTAATTTCCAAACATCCGCAAAAGCATTATATGCTGCAAGTCAATACATTGTACTTATGTTTTAAATTTTATAAACCCCTCAACTAGGAAGTTAGTCCAAATTAATCCACACATATGATTAAGATATAACGATAACGATAACGATAATATTTGTGTATTAAATTTTGGATTTACTTCCTAATTGAGAGATTTATAGAATTTAAAACACAATTAAATGTCACTTATAGATGACTTGCACCATACAATGGCACCAGTGCAATTATACTTACTGATTTTCTCCCGTCAACAACAAAGTCATGATCCGTTATTTTTTATTACTATTAAATTTTTATTTATCTTCGGCCGTCAACTTGATTGAAATTTGTGCACCAGGTTGACGTATATCTCTTGGGTTAACATTTCATAAACAGCAGTCTAATAAATATAAATGCGAAGTTGTGTTGCAATTCTAACACGATTCAAAGAAATTGTAAATATATTAATTTCAGCTGCAAAGAATTGAGGTATTTACGGAGTACTTCCTTAAATTAGTCCATCCAAAGTTACTAATGGAAAATCATACACTAAAGCTGGTATTTATAGATTTGGGATGATTACGTACGAGGTTGCCACAGGTGAACGACCATTTGGTGAAGTCATAAAAATTGTCTTGTAATGGAATATTACTCCAGACCAACTGCTAAGGAACTCGAAAACTTTATCAACTCTACCTACAAGATGACTATAGTCTGAAAGAAATTAGGCTCTACAAATATCAATTTGTATGTTTCAAACGAATTTCGAATGGAAGAATTGTTGCATACATAATTACAACGAATGGAAGAAATTTAAACGATCTAAAGAACATACCGAAGTTTATGAACGGACCATTTCTAGAGTGTAAGCAAGTTGCTTTTTGTTTTCTAATCCAATCAAATATAGATTCAGACGGCTCTAAAGTACAGTTGTCATAATTATAGAATAATTAAAAACCAAAACCCAGCTACAATACTCAATAGTAATGAAAAATGTTAAGTAGAACAATTTTGGATGGTATATTCTCTATATTGGTTATTTCTTTTTTTATATAAATAACAATAATAACGATAATATATATTATTTTAATCACCTACTTTTGTCATCGTGGATTCTGCCACGATATTGCAATAATATCCGGCGTGTCATTAGTTAATTTATTATAGCGACATGAATTAGGTTACGCTATACGAACTGATTGAATAAAACCATCCACGTAAACTCTTCACTGTCTTTTATTTTCTACTCGGGACAATCTATCGCCTTCTCCTGTCCCATCGAAGCCGCTTATGTAATTCTCAAGACAAGGATTCAGTCTGACAACGTTGTTTCATCGGCATGACCGCCGAAGTTCCAACATAAATCCGAGATATATAAACAATACATGGATCGAGGTTGCCACTTTTCAATTTCTGGCATGCTAGGATATACGTGAAACTGCCTCAGAAACTTCGTTTTTTTCAGTGTCTCGCTTAGGCTTTCAGCAAGCCATAGACCGCATTCTGCCCAGCGCATCGCTGTGGAAGTCTTCTGAAAGCAAATTCGATGTTACCAAAAAAGGTGGGCAAAAAGCAGTTAAATTACGAAAACCTCTCTTGAAAATTTTATACTTACTATCACAAACAAAATACATGTATCAGGTGTTCCCTCAAATGGATGGGTAAATGGATAAGATGGTTAAACATTTGTTACCAAAGGATAGCTTTATATATGAGCATTCTTTGGTCATTACCAAGCCGCCTTTTCAGATTTCTTCCTTTAGCCGTTTAAGCATTCTCGCGTTTCCCTGATAAGCAATTCTCACTTTGACTGTGTTATTCAGAAGGATAGGAAAAATAAAGCTATTGATGACAAAGGTGATATATGTGAACAGTGTGAGGCTATGATGGTCGCATTTACGACGTAGATTCTTCTGTTAAAAACGAATGTAATTTGTCAGAGAATTGTTTGATAATAACGAACCAAAATTTGCGAAATACTTTGGAAACGCGTTTGCATCATGGCTGGTTTTTGAATTGGTGGACAAACTAAGTGTAAATTATATCGACGCAAAATGGTTTCTATGGAATAGGAGAAACTTTAGCGAAAAAGATAGTCTTCAGTACGATGCCGACGATGTTATTAAAAAGAATAACTGTCACTGAAGAGTGCCGTAACGTACTTCAATAGTGTGAAAGTTGACATCTTACTTCCGGCCAGAGAAGAAAGCAAAAAGGATGGTGAAGAGTTTGCATAGGAGGGATACTGCTGTTCAACGGACGCAATCTCCGAGTGGTTTGCTTCAAGCCAGTGCATATAATGTAACTTAACCAAATCAGATTCCATGTCGCTAAAATAAATTATTGAAATGAGGATATTGCGACGACAAAAAGTAAGTGATTAAAATAATTTGTATTATAATTAACTAGGAAACTAATTCTTTACAGAGATACAACATCCAGAAAAGGTTCAACTCTCTTTTTTAATGATTTGATAATCTACTTGATCAACTCAAAAACCCAAAACTCTAAAACTCCATTATCGATATTCCTAAATTAACTTCTTAACTTACCAATACCCACTTCCTTTTCCACTTCGAGCAACCAACATATTTAGAGATCTGATGTCGTGAATTAGGGGGGTTTAGGGCGGAATTATGAATTTAAAAAGAAGATTTACGAGATTAATGGTAATCGTGTTGTAGCGCTAGCGTTAGTGATTATCGTTATCATCATAATTACGTACAGACAAACCTCCCTAAATGCACCCCTCTTGGGACCATAGTATAGCGTGCATTTAGAGAGGGTGTGCATTTATAGAGGGCAAAATATATAGAGCTCTTATGAGCTCGGACCCAGCTATACTGTGTATTTAGAGAGGGTGTGCACTTTTAGAGGGTGCATTTAGGGAGGTTTGTCTGTAATTAATATTCTTCTATATATATGTACATGTATATTAATTTATTTGATTATTTTATTACATGTATTTTGTTGCCGTCGTCGTCGCCATTACACGATTCTCATCAGGTGATGATATGAATCCATGCTGGCTAACTACGAACATTATACATAAAATTTCTGTATACACAATCTGATCCAAGCCACACATCAACAACGTGGCTTCTATTTTGTTTGTCATGTCGCAGCCCACAAAAATCTCTTGCGCTACGCTTTTTTACGCTCTTCATCAAGTCACAAAAATATTTACTTTTTTGTTCTACACTTCTTGCTTTTTATGCTCTTCTTCTCGCTTCCAAGTGCTGCTCACTCTTCTCGCTCTATGCACTTCTTGTTTTACGCTCTTCATTCTCGTTCGACATTCTTTATCAAGATACGGAGACGAGTAAGTAGCTCGCAAAATCTCTTTCTCTATGGTTTGGTTTATGCCCTACGGTTCTCATTTTTTACGCTTTCACTATGTTCTACGCTTTTTCGGTTTACTTTCTTCTCGCTTTGTGTTCTTTTCGTTCTACATTTTTTGTTTTATGCTTTTCATTAAGACACAGAAAACCGTAAGTTAGTTCGCAAAAATATCTTTTACTCTATATTTTTACTTTCTTTTACGTTCTTCTCTTTCTTTTCACTCGATCAGGAACACAAACTTTAATATAAATCAATAACCAATCACAAACATGACGCCAACAACTCCAGCAACAACCCCAATAGCCACCAATATACAGATGATGCAGCAGCAACCCCAACAACACCAACAAGAAATTAGAAACGGTATCGATTGGTAATTGAACGCCAATTAGAATATCCACCGGTGTTGGTGAGCCAATGGACATTGTTCCATTGAGAATAGTCCATTGGTTCGATATAATCACTAGACCTTGGTCCATTGGCAAAACTGATTGGGTCAATGATTTATTGTTACTGAAAATATATGCAATGGAACATGGACCAAAGTCCATTGCTGGGATGGCTCATAGACGACATGAGTCACGATGAAGCCGATCTCCACCCTCTTATGAGGAAATTTTTCTGCTCGAAGAAGTCATTCTGTATCGCCAGTGCGACGATCTCCAATCCGTAACAATAGATTTTTTTCTGGTATATTAATTGAATTGGATGCAAATACTTTGTGGTGCTTTCCTGAGTGAGATGAACATGGCATCACTGTTGTCCCTTCAACTAGATACCAGGCAGTTTGGTCACAAACCTGGCAACCAAAACTGTAACAGTGGCTGACAAATGGAAGAATAATGAAGAACCGAAGAAATAGAAATTATTTTACAAATCAGGGCAAAGCCTAGAGTCTTCAACTCATGTATCAGCGAATACTGAAAATACTATTATACTTTGGGGATCGACAGAGAATGAGAACGATAGAAATTTATTTTCAGTTGATTATCATTCACCATAACAATAATAAAAAATATTATTTAAAATACCTACTAAAATAATATTGGATCATATAAAACCATGCCGTAGTCATGAATTAGCATTAGCGGATGGGAAAGAATCCGAAGTTTCTTCATTTACAAGAGAATACCCCGAAAAACCAGACTTTAGACTTTGTATGCGACTTATTAGACTTAAAGTTTTCCATTGATTTTGATAATAATCAATGGAAAAATAATATCGGTGATCGGGGTTGTTATTTTTCGTTTCTTCTGTCAGAGGTAAGAAATTTAACCTTATGTAATATAGCATATAATTAACGGTTTCTTCTAATACACTTCGGTTATGCACATTTATAGATATCAGTGGCGATTTTGTGCTGAGACGACGCTGCAATGGTTGCAGATTACTGGGACACTATATTAATAAATGTAGAATTAATTTCTCAATGAATATTTTTATAGCAAAAGGCACAATTTCTTGAACCATTTAAAGAACTTACTAAAAAAATCCCAGCAAGTTCATATAGTATGATTTTTTTAATAATATAATTAGTTATAATTTATAATTCTAAGTATTATTTGTTAATCTTATGGACATGTGTTGTCCTTATAAGCATTTGTTACATAGCGATAGTAAATTTGGTCAAATGATACTTAGAATTACGATCGAACCTTTCATTACTTCCGGGATAATGAGGCGAGGAAGAAACACGCAGAGCACATGGAAAAATAAATGAACCATGAGCATGGTTGTCCTATTTGATATTATGTTTGATGGAGAGATTTATCATCCTAATATTCAGAGTCCGCGTAATCGAAAGAACGTAATTAAGTATATATCTGGATCACTACCCATATATAATGATATAATGCTATAAATTTAATTAAAAAATTTTATTATTGGTTTTTTTTAATATTTAAGCTACTAAGTTGCCTTAAGAAAAATATATTTAAATTGTTATGTTTTTGAAAAACACTACTATTCATTTAATGTGTACTATCAGGATTCGATCAGATAAATAACTTGATCGCAATATATGAAACTGAATATCTGCAAATTTTCATATATTTTCGATATTTTTTTCATAGCAAAATAAGAAAAAACAGCATTCTCGTTATATATGGCGAGCATGTAACTGTTGTTGCGTCGAAACTCAAGAAAGGTGTTAGTAAAGACGAAGTTGCTTGGAGTTATCCTGAAGTTTATGTCCGGCACATGGAGGGATTGCTATTGTTGCTGATAGAAACGATATGTTACCTGAATTGAGTTACATGGAGATCCTGCTTGTGGAAAGACTTCCTATTGTCGAGATACTCATCCTGATGCGTATTATAAAGACAATACTCAATGGTGGGACAGATATAGGGGACAATCGGTTGTAGTTTTAGATGATTTTATAGATGGATTCAATATAATGTATTGCTTAAATTGCTTTGTTATAGTGTCTCTAAGTTAGAAGTAAAGGGTTCTTTTGTATTGAATAAGAGTAGGAATAACTAGTCAGCGTCATTATAGTGAATGGTATAGTTCAGAAAGGATTAAAGGCTACGATGAGGGTGCTTTAGATGGCGTATACATAGTGTAAAAGGGTATAGGAAAATAGATGGAATAGTGTTCATAAATAAAGATAATACAATGATATTGCCCTCATAGTGTTTGAGAGGATTGTTGTAACGCGTTTACGCGAGAATAGTGACGTATACACTTCAGATACGTCGGTGTAAACAGATGAAATGAACCATTCGACAAGACATACAAGTTGTAACGAAGCGTAATGCGTAGTGTGTCAGATGGAGGATACTATCCGTACAGTTCTGCAAACTGGTCAGAATGACACACAAATGTGCACAACATAATAGATATGACTATGAGTAGGTGCGAAGCATCGCGTGCGATGAATAGATACAAAGTTAAAGAAGCAGCGAGGGAGAACGTGAAGTGTAGCGTGAAACAGTATGGGCCGAGGTACGCTTCCATCCGTATCCAGTAATCGTTGAGTGTCGGTTTTCAGTTTATGGGATATCACTAGCAGATCAGTCAGTCACATCTGATTGAGACCTGAGTCAGCCTATACGTATACAGTAAGAAGTGCATTTTACTTGATATAAACTAATAATAAATAAATTATGAGTTGAAATAATAAAAAAGTGAATAAACCGCTTTGGTTGTTGTTCTTTAACTCAAAATACAGTTACTATCGATTCCATAATTACCGTCAGACTCTGTTAAATTAATTAAAGTAAGTCCATTTGTTTTATTTGATACTGACTTATTTTGCTAGATTGTATTATTTTTGGAAATGTTTCGTCATAAATACGTAGTTTTTCTTGTGAGACACTCGTTCTCTTTGATTTCGTATGGTATACTAAGTAGGGTGCGAACATATTATAAGACCAGAGTTGCAACTCTAATACGACATGTGCGAGTTGTATTAGAGTTGCAACTTTACTATAAGTTGTATTTCGAATACGGCAATCCAGCAGTTGCAACACTAATACGTCATAAGCGAGTTGTAATTAGAGTTGCAATCTTCACAATATGTCTGCACCCCTAATACTAAGTTCGAAATCTGGTTTGCACTATGAAAAAAGAATATTATATAGATTTTACCCTCGTTTAGAACAAAGAAACTGACACTTGTAAAACCTATACCATGATTTTAATTCATATGAAATCTCAATATTCTTACATTTCGAAATAGAAATTTCAGTATTATTTGGAATTGAAATTAATTTTACTGCGGATTCGTTGTTTTTTGTTTATATTTGTAGGAATGCTTTTCTGATATTATATTTCTAGTATGAGACCCTTTAACTTCTTAATGTGCTTTAGAATATTCTAAAAGCTGTAATACTGAAAAATGCAAATCATTTGGTTCGAACTCTGTATTTAATGAAATAGTTGATAGTAAGAATCGATAAAGTCATTAAGTTTCTCAGCAGCTGGTTAGTTTTTTGGAATAGGATATTTTCAATAATAAAGTTGCACCATCCAAAAACAGTATTCGTACGCCTTTATACGAGCTTTACGTATATCGCTCACCTGTTAAATCTCGTCGTATCTACCAGTGGTATCACTTTATTAAGCCCCATAGTCCAATTTCTCAAGATCAACGGTCCAAATGGCACAGCTTTTATAAATTATCCAATTGCCAATAATGGTCTTCACTCTCTGCAGACTTCAAATACTCGAAAGCTTTTTTGTTAACTTGCTGTATGCCAATGTAATTTCAGTAACATATTTGTCCAGTTACAATTTACTGATTTCAAGTACCATTCAAAAGCTTTTTGTTGCAACCAATGCCATTTTGGTAACAACAACCAAGATTATATGCTCAAAAATCTCAATTTTTTCACATGCTAACGCCATTTTGATAGCGTATGCCAAGATAAGCCAGAGTTGGAAATGACCTAGTCATCTGGCCAGATTGAAGTGACTTTAAGTGAGTCATTTAGTTATTTAATATAGGGTATTGTGGTGGGTCAAAAAAATTATATTTTAAAAATACGTACATTAATAATTTCTTGCAATATTAAAAACACCACAATACTTCCATTTGCCATTTACCTGAGAAGTATAAAAAATTTTAAGACCAATCTCAATCGATTTTTTTACTCAAATTTGAATACTATTTTTGTACTGTATTGCTAACATTAATCTTATTTAGATGTTGTATGATAAATCTTACTCATCAAACAATTTAATGTACGGTAACTTCAAACTCTATCTAACAAACTACGTAAACCGTAAACTTTATCACTTTTATAGCTTACTTTTTTTGTTTATTAGAATTATAAAGTTTCAAAATTATGTATTTTTGTTAGATTCTACATATATTAGTAAATGACCAAAATTTAAGAAATTTTTGATCTTCAACCAAAAATTAATGATAGATTCACTGATCTTTTATAATTCCAGGCAAAATTAGCATGACAGAAGTTCTTTTTGATTGGCTGTCACATCTGATGATCTTCATCGAATATGATTGGCTAATATTGATAAAGAACATCAAACAAGAACAAGCCTACGTTGTTATGAATCACGATTCTGCATTTAAAGATGCATACTGCAAAACACGACGATATCCATACAATACACCGATGCTTAATTTTTGTCGGATATTGTATGTTCATAAGCTTTCATGTCCTAAATACTATCAATCATTTCATAACATATATCTCAATATCCTATAATCTAATTTTGACATCCAGTGATCAATTGGACGTCGAAATATCGCGTCCTAAAGTAATTGATTCATTTTTTTTTTGACATGAATCGGTCAATTTAGGACGTAATATCTCGACCTCCAGTGATCCGATTCGAACAAAAATATTACTATTCGATTTGCTTTGACTAGACGAATAGAATAGTAATATTTTTGTTCGAACCGGATCACTGGAGGTCGAGATATTACGTCCTAAATTGACCGATTCATTTTTTTTGCAATCAATTTCCAATGAAAAATTGATCGACAAATATCTTTAGGATATACGTAATAGCGAAAATCTCACCATTTGATTTATCTAGATTAGACAAATCGAATAGTAGTATTTTCGCTCAAACCGGGTCACTGGACGTCGAGATATTATCTCCTAAAGTGCCCGATTTATTGTACATGTATTTGGGCATGAAAGTTTATGAACAAAATGTTATGTCTTCTCGAAAGTTTGTTTAACTAACGAAAAAGATGATCACACTAGACTGAATGATTTACTTAAAGAGGGGTTCTCTAAAGGTTCTAAAGGTCTCCTGTAATGATTTTTACGAAAATCAACACCAATGAAAGGTAAGGGTCTTTTTAAGTAAAGGCGTTTTGGGCAAATACTAACTAAACTTTAATTGCTTTAATTAACAAGTAGGATTTATTGATACAACCTACAAAACAATCGATGTTCACAAATATCAAAAAGCAGTTTAACACAAAAGAGTTGGACTTATTGATGCGGCCAACAAGATACTATAATCGGGATATGGCTTATTTATAGTAGAGGTCTTCTACTACTTGTACGCAAGCTTTGAAGTTGATCAAGGGAAAAGATTTGTTAACAAGTAAGTATATTTTACAAGTTGGCACTTTTATTGAATCAGAGCATGAGCTTTTTCTACTTGAGAGAAACTCTTCTTTTATAACAATTCTTTGGCTACACTAATTACATATTTCGTGTTATAGATTTACAAAAATAGAAACAAATATCAGCTAGAAACTATTCACAAGAAAATATTCACTAAAAATTATTAACTCAAAATTATCAGCTGGAAATTACCAGAGTATAACAAAGAATTTTCTAAAAAGGAAAAAGGAACGTAATATTTTAAGTGCTAAATAATATTTACTAAAAATTATCAGCTCGATTACACGTTCGAAGATGATTATAAAAACGTAAGGGTAATACGTCTGATGGTAATACATGTACGTACATATAACGTCAATTTGATAAGCATACGAAATGTGGCTGGGTAATATATAATGTAAAGAAATTATGGAATCAGAGAATTTAGAGTTAATATGGTAACAATACAAGCGATCAGGTGTCGTGTTACATTTTGGGTGATCTTTATTACATGAACGTAGTATGATTTTGGGTAATGCCGGGCGTTCGGATACTTATAGCTCCTACTGTATAATGATCGTGGACAAATTCAAAAAAAAACCAGAAACATACAATCTCGTAACCCTGTGAGAAGAAGTAGACTTGAGGCGTTTACCAACGGCATACAGCATACAGTACATCATATCCGCCGCACCTTGAATTATGCGACCATTGTAAATTTCCATTTATCGACGATGTTGGTGTGTGGTACTTATATGCAATTCTACAAAAAAGGAATTTCCAAAATGTTAATGCGTTTTTAAATCGAATTGGAAAAGGAGCAAACACATTTACACAAGAGAATCTTGATGAGAACGATGTGGAGGGTGAAGAGAATTCCGGAGATAGAGGAAATATTGGACATTTCGTCCAAGTGACAGCACTGCGTCCAAGCTAGTATTAGAAATTAGCCAAGTAGACCATTGTTAAAACCGAACAATTAATAAAATACTAACCATAAACGTCTTTCTAAATGTCATATAAAACATACGTCTAGCAAAGGAGTTAACTTATCTTTGATCTACATGAACTGTAATAGGTAACATAATTCACAAAAATCCCAATCTAATTTTAGAATATACATGTACATGTACATTAATACCTGTGCGTAGATAGAACAGGATATCGACTTATTTTCGCTAGATCGAATTCGTTTATCATGAATTCGTTTTCGTTTTTGATAACTGAAATATGCAGAATATGACCAATTTTTTTGGCAGCAATACATTTACTATTAATGCTAACGGTCGGCTAAACCTATTTTCAAGAATTTTAGTTTTGGTCATCAAGTAGCTCAACTACGAACGTTAAAAAGCCAATGAAATGACCATTATATGTGCATATTATCGTTATGTTTCTGTATGACATGCATAACCCTTTTATGGTTGCGGGTTGAATAAAACTTAATGTTACTGTTAATATAAATACGTAGGTTTTGTTCTGCTTTTTACTACTATGTATTTGTATTTTCCTTTTTCTCCCCCAATCTAGCAAGATCAGGACGAGTACATTTCATTTCATTATTACGTATAATACACTATTTTGTTCCAAGTGTCCAAATAGAAATGAAGTTCTTTTCAATAATACTCTCATCATATGTAGCTGCTGTGTCAGCACACATGTCAATGGTTTATCCACTTGCACGAGGACACCCACATAATCCTAACGCTGCCGTAAAAGATTACGACTGTATAACCGCTCCATTAACGTCGTCGTCATTAATACAATCTGGGAATTGTGCAAGGAAGTTCTTTCCATGTGGTGGTTATCCAATGGACACCAAAATCACACAAGTTTTCTATGCTGGTGACGTTGTTGATGTGAAATTCTGGACTCCGTCGCTTCCCGATGGTCCACAACCAGGTTCCGAAAGCGCTAGTCAAGCAAGACATAATGGTGGACTTTGTGAATTCTCTTTATCCTACGATGGGGGTAAAACTTACACAGTTATTGCTACTTATAATCAGACTTGCCCAGATATTTTCTTTGATTGGAAAGTGAAAATCCCAGATGCTGCTCCATCATGCGATGATCCCGGAAAATGTATTTTCTCTTGGTCGTGGATAAACGCTATTGGAAATCGTGAATTATATCAAAATTGTGCTGATATTAAACTTGTTGGTAGCAATTTAGCGAAACCATTACCAATCATTGATATTACTCGTGCAAACATCCCACCAGAATTCCCTAACATTATAACTCCTCCCGGTGATCCAGCTAATACTGGCAACACTAAAGGATCCGGCCCTTCCTCTTCCGATGTTTCCGCTAATATGGCTCTCAATATTGGTACTGTAACAAATACTTCAACCACTAAAGTCGTTGAGAACAAAAAGAAAAAGTATTCTACTTTAATTATTGGATGTGTAATCGGTGGTGGTGGTCTTGTTATCGTTATTATTGCTCTTGTAATATTTTATATGGGTCGACGACGTAATACTCAAAATGAAAGAAGACTTTCGGAAAATTCTGCACAGTGCAACAATGAACCAGGCTCTGCTAATATTTCTTCAGAATCTAAGCCTGCACATTCCGTAATTTGATCCAATATATAAGTAAAATAGTTATCGTTATCAATATCGATATAACCCAATTCATGATGTCCGGAAGTTGGGTCGGTGATTGACCCCCCGGATACACAAACAATCCACGAATATATTATTGTAGCAGTAGTACATTCAAATGATAAAAATATTTAGAAATTTCTTGACACGAAAGTCTTACAAATAGTACTGTGTCTCGTTTATTTGTCATCGTATAAGGTAATGTTCTTGTGTCATTTTCATGCATTATAAATAATCGTTTTTAAATAAAGCATTGCCATAACAATATGATTATCGTGACTATATAAGTACATGTACTGCAACGAGTGTTCAGATCACAATTATAAATTATACATAAAAGAATGCAATAAAATTAAATATAATTTAAATGGATCCTTGCAAAAGGAGGTTTTGGTCTGAGGAACCATTGATTGATTATTGGGGTCATGAAGAAAATAAATTTGAGTGAAGGGGAGAATATCAAGTTGTGTTGAAATCATTACACAATTCAAAATAGTGTAAGCATCTTGCTTTTTTGTTTTCAATATAATTAATTCTGAAATTAACGCTGCTCTAAATGCAAGTGCATGCGTAGCTATATTGTCTATGACTTACAGTGGCCCGCATAAATAACCCACCACTTGATCTGTGCTCATATGCAAAGCTAACAAACACAAATAACACAGGATATGATCGATAGGACCGCCGCCTTTCGATTTGCTCGTTTTTTTAGCGCATTTTTTTTATTGATATAATAAAAAACATTTGCTCTATATACATACATTTTTATTATCCAAGCATCAACTAATAAAGGATATCCTACCGCAGGATACACCGGTGTCTAAGACAATGTTGTCACGTCAGACCCGCGCACAAACAAAAAACTTAAGCGAGAACATGAACAAAACAAGGTGCTTTGTTGACATCCCTTTAGAGGTCGATAATATTATTGTTGATTTATTTTTTGCCTCGCTAGCTTCGCTAAGAATAGCCAACTTTCTTTTTTCTTATTGGGTTGTTTTGTGTTGATAGAATAGTCGCCAGAGCTATTTGTTACGGGTTTTCTTCGGCAAGTTGTGTGGTTGACATGTGCACAATCTCTTTGCTTTATTAGGGCGAGTAGCTCAGTGCTTTGATGAGGTGATTCGCTCGTTCCACAAAAGCATGCATGCAATCCTTCAGGAAAAGATTTACCCATCCATATTTTTTATTATCATATCAATTCTAATCTCAATTTAATGGTTTTTACTAACATCGTCCACAACTTGAAAACTGTCTGCTATTGACAATATTTATTATTCGGAAAGAGAGTGTTGTGGATGAATGTTCCTCTCTATCTTTCTGATAGAATATCGTCCAAAGAAACTAAGACTCGGTACAATATATCAACCGGAGACTTGCTTATTGAAACGCTACTGAGTGAGGCAAAATCTACCAGCAATAACTCTCTTGAGTTGTCCAAAATTTCTCCAAATTTTATCCTAATAACAAACGTTTGTGATTGTCTTCGGGCGGTGGTTAGGCTTAAAGAGAACAAAGAGGTCATTAAGAAGAAAGCACGTGCAACAACATCTAAGATAATAAGATAAATTCAAAAAGATCAAATAATATTTAAATTGGATAAATTATATTTAAATTGGATAAATAATATTTAAATTGGATAAATTGAATAAATTATATTTAAATTAGATAAATGATATTTTTATAATTATTTTGGATCATAATATTATATTGGTACTGGTTTAAAATCTTTATATTCAGATGTTGAAGAAGAATTAAATAAATGGATTATTTTGCATCAAGATAAAATTGCTGTTATAATATATATAATTCAATAAAAAATAAAATATCTTTTTAATAATGAATACTTACAACAATATCCTAATACTAAATATCTTTACAATATCTTATAATTGGCTCTATGACTTTATGAAATATTATAATTTTTCTATATGTCAAAAAACAAAATTGGACAAAAATTATCTAAAGATGTTTCTTTAAAATTAAAATTATTTAATACATTTATTAAAACATATACTTTTAAAGATCAATATTCTTTATCATAAATTGCAAATATGGATGAAACTCCAATTTTTTTGATATGATTGGTAATTCAACAATAGAAAAAAGACATGCATACAGTTCAACTTCGCACTAGAAAAAATCACTTTACATGTGTTTTAACAATTCTTGCTGATGGGATTAAACTTAAATCTATGGTGATTTTTAAAGACAAAAAATCTTCAAAAAATCTTTCTCCTAATATTATAGTTAAAATGCAAGAAAATAGTTGTATAAATGAAAATTTAATGATAACCTGGCTTCAAGAAATATGGAAAAATCATTATAAATTAAACAAAAAATTATTGTTAATAATAGATAGTTTTGAAGGTCATAAACAAGCATTGTGAAAGAAAATTGTCAACAAAATAATATTGATTTAGCTATTATACCTGGTGATCTTACATTACTTGTTTAACCATTAGATGTTTGTATTAACAAACTCTTTAAAGATAGAATGCGTAAAAAATGGCAGAATTGGATGGAAAATAAGCGATATATATTTATTAAAGGTGGAAATTTATGAAAACCTAGTTTGTAGATGGATTTAGAAGTGTGTGATGATGAAATGATTCATAATAGTTTTAAAAAATGTAAAATTTATCGACAAAATTTATCAATATGCATATAGGGTATAATCATGTGTTTGGTAGTCTCTTATATTTATTTACACATGTTGATAACGTGTAAATCACGAGATATCACCATTACGTATTATTTTTTAATTTACGTGATGCAAAACATATGACGGCCACTGTAACGGAATCATCTGTTATACCGAATACGTATTTCGAGAAATACATGTAGCTGGCAATTACGTACGTAATGATGATACATGTATAACTGTAATTAAAAGGGATTCCGAAAATAATCCCGATACATGATCGCATCGATACGTACGTAGACATTTTTGCGATACGTATTACGTATGTAAATACATGTACGAAAAATTTGAATACGAGAACAGAACATAAATAAATAAAACGAAAAAACAAATAAATAAAACGAATCAAATAAACAAATCAAATACGGGGGGTTATGGCATAAACTGTATTGGAAAAGGGTAGGGTGGGGTATGGGTTCGGAATATAGGTTATCTTAACGTTATTCAAGCTTATCTAAATACATTGACATATTAATGTATAGCATAGTACAGTAAAATCTAATAACGATAATGCGTGCATGCATTCCGTGTACGTATTTTTGGTATTATCGATCATTACATATCGATATCGGAAGAGGAAAATTTACGATTTGCGATAATGCAGTGTTACAACGAAGTATCGGTATTATTGAGGTTTGAATGTAACAATTCCAAACCAAATTTTCCTCTAAGATCTGGAAAATCAAAGAATCGACTTGTGTAAGACGCATCTTTATGAGTTTCTTGTGATGCGCTTTTCTGTATTTGAAAATTTTTACTTCTCCTTTCTTCAGCAATTCTAAATTCCTCCCTGATTCCAGTTGGTGCTTGATTGTCACATATATCGGTTGTCCAATCACTAAATGTTTTATTCAATTCAATTGCTGTTGGTCTTTTATTTGGATCAAATGCCCAACATCTTTTCATCAAATCAGAATACCATTTTGGAGTGTTTTCAATTTCCTTTGGTCTGACTCCATTGTAAATATCCATTGCTAATGCAGTGTCATGTGCTCTCTCAGAAAAGGGTTTTTTTTCAGCTGCAAGTGACCACATAATAACACCAAAACTATATATATCAGCTTCTTTTGATTGCTTCTCCCCAAGAAGGATCTCTGGTGCAATATAGGGAATAACACCATATAATTTGTTATATGGCGTATCAACTGATCCATGAATTCCTATATCAGCTATTCTTCCAGCCGAGATTAATTCATCTTCAATCATTATATTTCCACCGTGTAAATTTCCATGATAGAGATTAGATCGATGAATAACTTCCAAACCAGTGGTAATTCTCCATAATAAATCGATTTTATCTTTCCAGCTAATAACTTTGACATTTTTAATGTAATGATTTAAATCACCATTTACATAAAATCTCATTACAACTATAAAAGATCCGTCTGGATCTTTTGAAATACCAAAGGTGATAGCCACACTGTCTGATTGAAGATAATGATGATATTTTCGTAACTACGTAATATAAAATGGAAACATTTTGTTAATAATTTTTAAAATTTGTTTTTATCAAATGAGAAATAAAATTTACATTTTCCAAGAATTGTTTGCTCAAGTTTTGAGAATTTTTAAGTTTCTTCAGTGCTACTTTTATTGGTCCACTCCTAGACCAAGCTTGAGTGTTTTCGTTCCAATCCCACATAGGTCCCTCTAACCAAATAGCAGAATAGATTTCACTAAATGCTCCAGCTTTGTGGAATTCAACCAGTTCAAATTGATCGTAAGGAATATATTCAAGATAATCGCCGCTTATACTTGCTTCTGCTTGACTTTTTTGTATAATTAAATCAAGTTGCAAATTACCAGTTGTCCAGCTTGAATATTTTTCCTTGAACCAAGTAGTTTCACAAGATTGACACCATGCAAAATTAGTCTTAAAATTCCCACAATCAAAGCATTTTTTATTAATAATTCGTGTTTCAGCACGACATTCATCCGATTGAAGTCGAATTGAATCCAATTCATCATCACTTTCTTCGTTATTCAAATCCTCGATTTCTTCGTCAGTTAAATCTCTATTTTCAAACATATTTTTCTACGAGAAACAAAGCACTCAGAGATAGCGTTTTTGTTGGAGAACGCGAGTTTTTAAATACGTAAAGGAAAATTTTTTAAGGTCGGCCAAATTTCCCGTGAATCATTAATAAAACTGCAATTACATAATTATCAATTATTGAACACATGGGCGAAAAGATTGCATGCGTATGGATAAAGTCAAAATTGTAGGTTTTCAAACTGGTACCATGAAATTTCATAAGTTTAATTCGTCGCCAACACTGTAATAGCCACCCACATGATAAAAAAAGCAGTGTATTGTTTCTAAAAAAATAAATTACATGTATTGGTTTTGTTAATTAACTGTAAGTTCCCCAAAATTTTATGTACTAAAATGATAGCTTTGAGGTTAAATTAAATTTTAAATTTTTTACAAAAAGAAGGATACTTAATGTAGATGGAATGAAAGATAATATTATATTTAATGATTAATAATACATGTACGTACAACTCATTCTCGTTATATCGGACTTATTATAAAATAGAACACAAATATTATCATCATAAAATGCAGATTCTGTTTTAGTTGAGAGTTATCATAACATAATGACGTAAACCAGTTTTAGCGCAGCCTGAGAACAAATACTGATACGAGTATCAAAGTTATACACATATAACGATAATAGCATTAACGTTAAATAAGAAATTTCTCTATAAAATATTATGAAAAGTGTATAATTTTAAATATACATCTGGTAAAAAATAAACTGATAAATTGATAAAGCTTGACTTGACCTATTGTTTTTATGGTTAGTTTTCCAAAATTGTTATTTGCCACTTACATTTTCAAAGTGATGAAAGATTTCATGAAAATTAATACATACGTATACAGTACGTACGTATACGTATGTACATGTATTATTAATATTTAAATACATGTACGTACATGTATGCATTTTGTGCATTCATTCATTTACAAAAATGTTTGGCATCAACTAGTATTTTATTAATCAGAAGATTTTGTCATAGGTTTCGTCAGATTTCATCATTCGTCACGATTTCTTCATATCATCACCAGATTTCGTCAAATTGATATGACAAAATGTTTCGTCATCGTCAAGTATCATTAATCTTAACATATACTTGCTCCAAGTCCAACGTTAAATACGATATCCACCTGAGCTTCAGTCATTCCTCATGAGTAGAAAAAAGACAAATACATTGCGTTTTGTCTGCTGAGACTTCTTTACTTTCTTAGAACGCTTGAATCTCTTGGATGACCTCTGTAGTTGGTGTTGTAGTGCAATTTGTTATGTCGCATCACAATACTGTGATGATCACCATCACCCTCTCAGTTTCTTTAACGTGTACTCGTTCTGAAAGAACAGAGCTTCTAGTGAGTTCTGAACTGATATTATTGATAATTTCATGTTCTGTGCTCGTGTAGAAAATCTTGATCTTCTGTTTGTGCAGGATTGATAGCTGTTTCAAAAATAATGGTTAATCATATCACATTATAGGATGAAAAGGGTATTTTAACGAATGGAATATTGTGATGGATCAAAAAAAGTGCTTGAAAAAAGAAAAAATATGATAATAATATTGTCAATATATGCTAAGATTTGTATATATTTATTTTTAAAAGATATTAGTAATTTTTCACAATATTAAAACATCACAATACCTCCATTCGTCAAATACTCCTTTCACCTTATATATATATTTTTATCAATGATGGCTTTAAAAATGCTTTATCAAATTCTTTTTCCTTTTAATTTACTCTCCTTTCCATTCTTTAAATATAAAATTTT